TATGGGATGCTTGATGTGAAAAGCTTGATGTGAAAAGCTTGATATTTGATACTTGATGTTAATCATAAGGGGATTAATAATCAGCATCGCTGAAAATAATATGAAATATGAAACGTGATAATGGTATTACGAAGTATAGTATGTGATACTAAGAACAAGAAATGTATTATGCAAAACAGGTCTTTCTCGGACCTGCACCTCCTCGTCGGTGCTAAGAGGGAACACCAAAGTCCAAGCTTCACCATCCGAGCTCAGCCACGTGATCTCCTATGAGACCTTTCCAGTTTTCAAATCCGATCAATCATCCAGATCGCTGGTGATCTGCAGCGATTAGGCGTTAAAGGGGCTGCGTGCTATTAGGAATCAAGAATCTTGGTGTTGGGATTGGTGAATTGAGCTTTTCTGATTATGATCTCCGACAGACTTTTCCAGCGTAACGGTAGGTGGGTAGACGATGAATGAATAGGCGAGGTTGGCGACGTTGGTATAGCAGCTATCGGGGATCAGATAGAGGATGGCGATTTGAGATGAGTTAGTTGTTTCTGATATCGCCGTTGTTAACTTCGCCGTTGCTGAGCTCGCCGTTGCTAAGGTCGCCGCTGCTGAGCTCGTCATCGTCATCCATCTTGTCCTACAGCTTCTTTTCTTCCGTCTCTCTCTTTGTGCCTGCCTGTACAACGGGTTATTTCCTTAGATAAGACCAGATCTGCTCTATTATCCGCTAGTCCGATTGAAATCGACGATTGATTGCTGCTTTGTTTCGTCTTTAGTGAAGCCGAATACGCATTCTCCTTCTATTATATCTCCTGCGTCGCGCAGATGATTGTCTTGCTTTGGGCCTGCCGCATGTTACTCCGGACGCGGTGACCGCGGGTCGCCATCCTTGAGGACCTTTGATATAAGCCAAGCTGGGCCGGCCTCTATCTTGATGGCACCCGTCGGCAGCATGCATCGTCGTGAGACTCAGTCCGCGGGTTCTCTATCTGCTATTTCTGAATACAGCATATCGTTTCTCGAACCGCGATCACCTCCGCCAGTGCCACCTCGAGCATGGAATCGCCTTGGAAATGAAAATGTTGCGTTAAACTACGGAACGAGTCAGCTGCCGTATAGTCATTTCGACGAGACCGCGAGTGTGCACGGGCCGAATCGAGAAAAATTGGAGAATGTGAAGAGTTGCTTGAAGGAGAACAAATACATTGCGAAGATAAAGGGATGGAAGCGATTAGGGCTCATTGCTGTGGTGGCCATATTGTGTTTGGTTGGCTTGATCGTAGGATTAGTCGTTGGGCTGCGGAATCGACATAATGGTTCCTCGTTCGTCTCTGCCTCCTATCGTCAGGATTACGACTGACGACTCTATAGAAGTAGAAGTAGCAATATCTCAGCAGGTAGCACATCAGGGACAACTTCAAACTCGGGCAATCTCGCACACAGCACCACTTTCCCAGCCGGCTCTATAGATTCGACACCTATCTCTCCACCACAACGACAAACTGCACCTCCAACCCGGCGACCTGGCGCTGCTACCCTTACTTTACCTACTCGCAATCACCCTTTCAAGCAACAGCCATCTTCGACTGGATCATCATCCCCGTCCCCAACACACACAACAACTATACCATCTCTTCTACCGCAAACCCCTTCTCTATATCCTTCGCCAACGCCCCTCTCATCTTAAAAGACGCCGCCGCAGACAACGAACACTACTCCTTCCAAACCCGCATGCAGAAAACGACAACCCCCGTCAGACAGCTAGGGAGCGAGAACGTGGCTGCGAAATGCATTTTCAATAGTACCATCTTCCAGGGCACGCTATGCACCAAGATGGCGAAGACGTACAAGGCGAAGAACGAGACGGATGGGATAGAGACGCGAAACGATGAACATGATGGTTCAATATTCAAGATGTGGCCGTATGCCGTCAAGGTAGAGCTGATTGCCGCTGCTGGATCGGGGACGCCGACGTGTTTGGACCCCAGCGGGAACTCTTTGGGTGATTTCAGTGTGGTGGGTGCGAGCTGAACGTTTGATTGCTTGTATCTGAATACTGAGAATTGATATTCGATATTTGGTATGATATGATTTTGGGTCTTTCGGATCGGCGGCGTGCGTTGTAAGTGGAGTGAGAACTGGTATGTGGCAGGCGATCTCGGGAATTTATGTGGATGGGTTGTGCGAGGGAATGTATAACGAGGTGAAGGCCGTCTGGGACACGATTCTATACGGCAATGTATTCTCATAAGGGGTGGGAACTTGTTCGTATATTCTTGCTTTCCAATTCTTCTTATATGTATATTATTCTCCACAGCCAAGCGCTCTAGTATCGATAAGTAAAATACTATAAATCCGAACTTCTCTTCACCAACCTCAAATCAAGGGAAATCGAGGGAGAGAATTATGATATATAGAAAAAGATTCTGAGAGCCCTGAGCAAGACCCCGTCCCTTGACTGTCTCACAGCCGTCCCCGTTCAATTATTCATAACGGGGTTCTTGAAGAGCTCATTCTGAATGCTTAAAACAGTCTATCAATCATCTCTAATGAGATATAACTACAACGTAGAAACTCTTTCTCTAATGGTATCGTTTTTGATTATATTTGTGATAAATCCGTGCCAAGATATCTCTCAGTATCGCTGACACGCCTTCCTATATCAACGCCTGACGATATTTAGAATTGGAATCGATCGATTCAGCACAAGTTCATATCACTGACCGCGAAATGCTTGCGCTTGGGAGTTTGTGGGGAGGGGGGGCAAAGGAGAGAGGGAAGGAGGGAGGGAAGGAGGGAGGGAAGGAGGAAGGGAAGGAGGGGGCAGGAAAGAGCCGGGGATGGCCAAGGGACGGTCTCAAAAAGGTCTAAAACGCTCCGAAAAAGCTCCGGAAACGCTCCGAGTCCTAAGACGGTCTCTCAATCAAAAAGACCAGCTTAACTAACGCCGATTTCAATCGTCTAAATCGCTTCTATTCTATCGACATTTTAAATGCTTATTCTGATTCAGCTATAGACTCAGGGTGATCTACCAGCCATGCTAACCTCTTTTTCCGTCTCCAAAAGAGCTCGTCATCGAATGACCAGCCGGTTTTCCAAAAGCTCTAGAATCATACCTACGTATATATGCATCTCGCACCCCTGGCATATACAGCCACGCACTCCTATATAATTTCACACCTACCTAAGTAGAATTACTTTGTGCAAAATTTCACAAAAGATTTCCAAGCGCTAGATGATCGATTGCCTGAGCAACATTACCCCTCCTTTAGCGAAAAAAAAAAAAAAATCGGCACAGAAAGTTCGCTAAAGATTCTATAGCATTGCGGAGGTACGGCGGTTATGTAGTCCCTACTTTTACAATTCACTATAGAATTAGCTTGATAAGGGAGTACCCTCGGAGTCTTTACGGAGTCCCTCGTTTCGTGTCAAAGTACTGCTCGATTAGGCTAGTTTCCAAAATGTACCTCCATAGATGATCGATTACCTAAGCGAGCGTTACCCCTCCATTAGCGAGCAAATATAAACAAATATTCAACCTCATATGTCTAAGCGATCCGATAATTTTTTTTCATTATTCGTCCTGATACCTGTCACCACATCACACAAAACATAAAGGGGAACTCAATGTAGAGAACCGCTCTTTGTATTGCAGAGGAAGCTTTATTTTAGGCTTAGCTTAGCTAATCTAGCGTTTTTTTTAGTCTGGCCGACCACAGTCCCCCCCCCCTTATGCCCCGTGAATACATGTGCAAAGTACTACGTCCCAGGCGTAAGTATTACCCCTCGAGAGTAGGGTAACCAGCGGGGGAAACTAAACTTTTGAGACACCCTCGAGGGGTAATGCATAGGCTTGTACCGAGGGTATAATTTTGGAAGGGCTCTTCCCAAGGCTCGAACTAGTAAACTATAAATATTCAGCCTTACGAAGTCCCTTTAGGGAAGTATTCAGTCTGTGGTCTGTGCAATAGAGTTCATAGGGCTTAGAGCCATGCTGAAACCGAATCACCGCTTCACGATTTTGGGGATAGTCTGCACATGAGTTCATGAGGGGGGCATTGTACTATATGTAGCTGAAATAGTTTACTTGCTCGAACTTGCTCATTCTGAAGGGGACCCAGTAGAGAAGCAAGAGCGTGCTTCGCCCTTAGCTACGAACATCAGCTACGTACATCGAATCTCGAGTCAGGAGCAAATAAAGTCATGAACTTACTCACTCAAGATAGAGAGAAATGGTGAGGGGCAGCGTAGCGAATGGTAAGAGATGATGTGGATCAAATTCGATTCTTATGAGTATGACATTGGATTCTAGATTTACATTCTCCACAAAAGCAGCTGCCAAATCAATTTCTCCCTTTTCCAACTCCAGACTAACTCAAGCCTAACTCCAGCCTAACTCGATTCCATAGCCATCCAGTCCAGTTCCAGCCCAAGCTCATATCCTGGGTACCGCGCCTCTGGCGCTAAGGGGGCGTCCTCCGCTGGTGGCTGTGGCTCAACCCAGAGCTCGTCAGCGGCGAGAATGGGCTCTTCAGCGGCGAGAATAGGCTCTTCAGCGGCGAGAATAGGCTCGTCAGCGACGGCAATGTGCTCGTCAGCGGCAAGAATGGGCTCTTCAGCGAGGAGGATGGGGTTGCCAATATCGCCAGGTGTTGACCATATTGCCGCATCGGGAAGGGCAGGCGCGAATTGAGGCTGCTGCCAGCCGAGGTCGGCACCTGGGTCGTAGAATTGTGCGGCGTGCTCGTTTGGCTGTGCCCCGTAGGGCTCGATAATCTGTGCCATCTGCCCTAGCACTGGAGTTGTGCCTGCAAAATCAGGCCCTGCCATCGCTGGCCATGCCCTGAGGTATGCCCGTTGGTCTTGAATTTGGCCTGGCATTGACATTGGGCCTGATACTGGTGCTGGGCTTACCATTGACCAAGCTGGCCCTGCCCCGAGGTGTGCCCATTGGCCTGGCATTGGGCGTGGTACTGGTGCTGGGTCTACTATTGGCCAAGCTGGTCCTGGCTCTTGGTATGCCCATTGGCCTGGAATTTGGCCTGGCACTGGTACTGGCCCTGCTGACCTTTCTGGGCCTGCCTGTGCTCCGCCTCGGAGCCCCTTCAATCTCTCAATCTCCTTCAGGATCTTCTGCTCCTCGTTTCCCTTCTTCCTCATATACTTTCGGATTTCCTCCGATCTCTGCCCCTCCTCCCCCATCTTCTGCAGGCCCATGGCCATCTCCTCCGTCTTCTTCTTGAGGCTTCTCTCCATCTTCCGGATGTAGCTGTTGGGATCGAGCAGCTTCATTTTCTCGGTCACCTCCTTCGGGTTTCTTCCGGCTCCCTTCTTCTTGGGAACGGAAGGCTGCCATGCCTTGTTCCAGAGATTCTGTCTGACGTTGAACACGAATACCCGGTGCTCCATTGCTCTGTGACTGCAGTGGAGAGAGTGGAGGAAAGGAGGCGAAGGAAAGAAGTTGAGGAAGGAAGTGAGGGGAAAGAGCTAGGCAAGGAAGTTGCGAGCTGATCCTCGGCGATGTGGTGTGGAAGTGAGGGTTTTGATGAAGGTGGAGTTTGATGTTGGCGGTGGTAATGGTAGTGACAATGGTTTTGGTAATGTTGGTATGAATACAGGTGACAGTAAAGTACAGTGAATATTCTCAAGATGCTTGTGATAGGCAGAAGAGACTGGATCCTGTGAATTCTGGTTTTGTAAAGTTGGGAGAGGGGGCAGAGCCAAGGCTTTATACTTCTGTAATTTTTGTTGGGAGGTGCGAGGGAGACTTAGGACAGTAGTGAACCCGCGATTGACATAATAGTTCAACTTTACTACTGTGGTCCTGTTCTAGCCTCTGACCCACTGGTCGAATGCTCCAGCAAAAGTGTGGATCGCACTTGGAATATAGGGAGCATGTGCCATACAGCGATCACCGTAAGGCATCATCACCTGTACCATATTTTTCAATACATTTTCTACAGTTTCTACTATACGCGTATCTTGTCGCTGACTGGACAGCTGAAATTCACTACCCATGATCTGTCTCATACAACTTGACGTGTAGGTATCATGACAAAGATATGAAGAAATATTTTGAGGGTATGGCCTTTGGAGTGGCTATCTCCAGCTCGCACCTGACGCATCATAACAGACTTACTGATTAGCGCTTTATGTAATTGGGGGTGGCCCTTCTAATTCAGGGGTCAGAATAGAGTTTGAGACTAAGCGAGGTGGGGCCATTACGGAAGGAGCAAAGCAAAAGTTTGCAATACCTCATTGTTCTTTAGCAACATTCGATTTCTGGTTAAAGTCTTTGCTAGAAAAACACAATGTACGAAGTATATGCGGAATGGCGAGACGGAAGTGTGGACACTGGACATACGACTCAGGTGAACCGATGAGCTAGAATATCGTCATAGAACGAGTCCGTGGGCTATGCACTCCTCGTTGCTGGTGTGGCAGTAGGAAGAAAGTGCTATGATCCGGATACGCTCTCGATTTTTGAGAAATTTTGAGAGCTTCGATGTAGAGAGAGTGTGTATCTGACAGTAAGTCCGCCACACTGCAAGGAGCTATGGCTTCTACGCGACCGTGTCCACATGGATCCAGTTGTTGAACCGCCAGTCCGTCACCATTCACTCGTCCACTTTCCCGCTGTCATCGCGATCTTCTCCAAAAATGGCCAGTAGGACGACAAGATCAAGACGATGGAGACCCAGATGTTGAGGAAGATCAGATCGCACCAGCCTCCCCGCAGGAGCGTGGTTGACGTGTCGAGTCGACGAAGGCAATCACGTTTGTCTCTTTCTTCGTCGCTATTTCTATTCTCGCAGATAGTGATTTTTTGCGTACAATTCATGACGACATTGAGGACTCAGAAGGGTGACCTGTCCGAGCCAGAAACCTTCACAGCGATAGAAGGAGTTGGGCGCTCGAGATCTCTAGACTACATTGAGCAGAAAGGTAAACGACAGCAGCAAAGCTTTTGACAGCACTCTTAGAAACTCAAATACACCGATGATACACAGAATGAAAATGGACAATTTTCGAGCTCTCAAATGTAGTTAAACGGATCATGAATACTCACCTCTGAAGAACATATCGACGTCGACTTGGCACATATAACACAGAAACTAAGCGCATTTTAGAGCATTATATTTTTCGGCATTCAATCTGCCGTTGTATATACGGAGATCTGGAGCTGTATATACTTCTGTCCATGTATCTTCCCCAGGCCCATTCTGAATATTTTTTGGTGTTCGTCTCAACCAAAATAACGAACTTTGGCAGTCCTTTCAATAAGTAATAACTATCGAAAGAATCAACCAAATCACTATGGAAACAAAATTACCTCTGATTTACCCCTCTGAGTTAATTTTGAGAAAATCTGTCAATTGATGGTGATATGGTGAGGAAGTGGCGATGGTAGGTGCACGACACGGGATTACATTCCGCCCACCTCCATTCCGCCAGCCCTAACCCTTCCATCACTTGAAATTTTGAAACCTTTCCCACGCACTGTACGTGAAACGCGCAGGTAAAATAGATTAAAAATAGAAGAAGATTAGATCGCGCACAATTTTAGTTCTCAAGAACTTGAGATGAAATCATAAAAAGATATCCCTTCCGCTCCTGTTCTAGAACATTTTCTGGTTCTCGGTAGAATATATGAACTTTGCAACTTTTTCTAATGATACTTGACTATTGAAATGATGAAATGAAATATTTTTGAATTATTCTCTATATCAAATCCTTATTAGATAGTTTGGTTTGCGGAATTCTATATATTGATGGTGGAATGCGAGGAAGTGACGACCGTGAGTATGCGACATTTGGAGTGGGGGGTAGAGGGGGAAGGGGAGAGGGAGGGGAAGAACCAGCTCTCACGGTATTGATTGAGATTTTTATCGGCAACCGATAGTAGCGTAGAGAAACAGCGGGTATAGTAGAGGGAGGGAGTTTGTAATTCCCCAGAGCTCGAGTCCATTTTTTTTGACTCGAATCCAAGGTTTGATTGCTGGGTCGAGACATACTTGTGGCTCTTCTTTTTTCTTATTTCATGTATGGAATTTGCTGGCAGTGAATACGACCTCAACTGCGTGTATACGAATCACAAATACTAAGAGCAAGCTTACATGACTCTGATCAAGATACAGCATAGGATTATGAACAAGTGAATCGCGATCTATATGTGCGAGGTTATATACTCCGGGCTACTGGAAATACGAAAAAATTGGCAGAGTACCTTGTGGCTGAAAATATTTCAGAAAACATGCGGTAAAGAAGATACATATTCAAGAAAAAAAAAATCATGGCAGCAAATTCTCCATCGACGATAGATATCACGTGATTCTAGAAGGCATTCCGAAACCGAGTCAGTCAGAGACGATGGAGTAAGAATGAAAAGCGCGTAGTAGTACTAAATCAACGTGATATTGACCCGCATACCAGCGGTTGGGCAACGTGGTTACCAGTGATCAGAAGCTCTAACTGTCCAAGAAGCTGCGATTATACAAAATTGATAAGGAGTGAGGCTTGTCGCCCTCACCTGATATAATCCCAACCGTTGGAAGTTGATACACATACAGATGACAGCACTCAGAAGTACAGGCGATATAGTAAGGAGGTCCAGAAGTAGGCCTGGCGCCGCTCTGCTTCGCCTTTTACTGCTTCCTCGTCCAGGAGACAAAGGAGAGCAATAGGTGGATGATATCTAATACCATACCCGCTGCATATATTTATTCAAGTAAAAGAGGGACAAGAAATGAGAAATGAGAAATGAATTTGCGCATGAATTCTCGGGTCTGGTATCCAGAAGCGTCCAATTAATCAAACAAGTTTAAAGGCAGGAAAGACATAAATTCAATCTCTTTTGCTGCACACCAAAGGCAGTCACGAAGCCATTGTCCATCAGGAGGTTCACTTGCGACTGCACGCACTTCCCACTGAAATTTATCGACTACAGAATGGATTAGAATACTAGAAACTCTTCATATACCGCCGAACACTGTACTTACAATTTTCATGGAAATTTGATACTTGCTTTGGATATAATGATACCCCAGTTGAGAAGTTCAGCCCGTCAGCAGCAAGGAAAGACACAACCACAGCAGAAGTTCTACCGACAGCATGAAACACGATTGGCAATGAGATAACAGTAAGCAACAAGGAAATCATAGACCAAAAATGAGTCGCAGCCCAAGCAATCACTCCATAGGTACCTATAATATGCCTCGGATCCCTAATCAAATTTAAGCCTCGCATTCGCAAGGCCGAAGGGGTAAATACCTAGGTACCTAAAACCCCAAATTCGCTCGACACTTTCGATTTTTCCAGCTCAATACTTATATCTTTCCGCTTTCGCTGTCCGGGAAAGAGAGAGAGGAGTAGGAGTTTTACATAGCTCCTTATCTCCCAGTCTGTATACTGCAATCATTCAATCACTTACTTTCTGCAAACAATTGATTATTAACAGGTTAAGCCTGGTGAGAGGGAGGATCAGTGAATGTATCAAATACCTCCACGCCAGCCAGCAAGAAATGAGCCTGAGAAAAGAGAAGTATATAATATTGAAATCTCCTCGAAGCCCTAGAAGATAAGTGTTAACAGTACGTCACAACACAGCACAGCTGCACATGAGCCGCGGGGAGGGGGATGTATTCTTTTCTACACCAGCACCAATTCCTCAATAACCCTTCCATTATAAATGAAAAACCCGCCTCGCTCACTATACTATTAATCATCTCATTTCAAAAACTCATTTTCAACAAAAAAGTTAATATATATCCCATACCATTTCCATTTTCGTATATCCATCTCATATTATCTCTTTTCTTCACCTCTCCAAAAGGGGTAAAAAAAAAATTAAAAATTAACCATCATTGACTCCCATGTTCCTACATTCACTCACTTCTTCACTTCCTCACCCTCAAAACCACAATCCAATAATCTAAAAACATAACTAAAAAACCCCCCCAAAAAAGTCCACCTCTTAAACCCAAAATCCTCCATCTTATAGTCAAGTCAAGCGAAAAAATGAACGCTCTTCTTCCAACTTCGCTCTAAAAGTGATAACTTTACCAAACAACCGGCTATAAAAAGAAAACCGGTCAAAAAAATAGGACGGGTGCGTTACATTGCAGCTATTCCCTTCATTCTCTTTCCATTCTCTGCCATTTCACACATCCGAAGAAAAGCACGATAGAAAAAAAAAAAAAAAAAAAAACACTTCGAGAAGCGAGAAGAGGTAAGTAAGCAGTAATCAACAGCTAACTACGTCTAAGCTACACCTACACTTCGATCACACTGTCCCTTCTCATCTCATCCATCCCGTAACCTCTTATACAAAAAAGCTCCTATTGAGCCAAAAACCTTTGCCCTTTCGATCAAAAACGCCGAGAACAATGCTGCATATGTACGTACAATCATTCAATGCTCGTTTCGCTCCATCATTCGTTGCATCGAGTCCGTCCGTCGCTCGTCAGATTCCAAAAAATAATCCTCACAGTCCCGCTCCCACTTCCGGCCCCAGTCCAGCGTAACCAAAGCAGAAGCCGTACGAGCCATAATAAAGGAGTCCTCCCTCGTGTACCACCAGAACGCCAAGAAACACCCTGTACACACACAGTTACCCCGAAAGAGAAAAGGAAAAGGCTGGCAAGCTATGTTACGACATCTCCATCTCCTCATTCTCGTCACCGTCGCTCCCCATCTCCCTCGTCTGGTTACTGCCAACACTCATCTTCCGCGCTACACCACCTACACCGAACCTACCCCCACCAAGACCACCCACAGCCTCCAGCTCGTCACCTAAAAATATATGTTAGATTAAATATTGAGATATGCGACATCGAACTCCTCACCTCCAACCACACGGCCTTCCGTATCAATCTCCTGGGACAACTCAACCAGAGCTGAGCGTGGAAGTTTGAGGAATCCCCGAGTCCGGACCACACGGCCCCAGTGCATGAGGCAGAAATTCGCCGTGCGCTTACGCAACCATTCTTCATTCGCTATGCCGGCGCAATGCCAGATGACACAGGCGTGATCGACGTCCAGCTCTTTACTCAGACGATTTACGCACAGCAGTCTCAAATGGGGAATGTTATAAATATTCGACATCACCAACAATCCCGCGACATCAGACAGCTCACCACAATCTTCAGGTTGAATGCTGTCGGTGTACAGGTAATACAAGAAAGCCTTGACGACAGTGTAGGGCTCCGGGATATGCATTTTCTTTGTGTGGAACTCAGCCATCTGGGCGTTGTAGAGGCGTGCAAAGTGCGGCCAGCGGGCTTGCAGGATGAGCTTATGCACGTGGATAGGGGGCGAGGTAGTTGCATTCGGGTCGAGCCAAGTTTGTTGGTCTGATGGGGAGTCGCGCATCATGCTGGAGGACATGAGATCTTCGTCATCCCAGTCGCCGTCTTTGAGGGCCGTGATGGTAAAGTCGGTACCGCTGCCGGATTCCGGGGATTGGTTAAAGAGCTTGGCGAGATCAGCGCCGAGGCCTTTGGATTGTGGGATTATGGTGCGTTCAAGGGAGGCGGCAATCAGAGAGTGTTCTGCACGGGGTTCGGGGGTTAAGTTGTTGCCGATAATGCCGTATCTTCGAAGGTCGATTTCCATAATGTCACTATCTGTGTTAGTAAGTCATCGGCCTCGTCAAGAGATAACTTACCTCAAGTACTCCTCGAATCCGCCTGGTCCAAGATCAGTGGCTGTAGGGTCAGTGGGGCATCCGAGAAGCCAAGCTTTCGTTCCATCTTCGTTCATTGTACAATAATGCCATCGATATCCCGGGCGAAAAATGTCACGACCCTCAGCCAATTTTGCCCATCGCAAAGTATCAAGTTCAAGAGACGACAAGGAGCACTCCTGGGGAGTAATAGTCGCGGCTGGTGTTACAAAATCAAGCAAGGTACCGGATGTGTAGACATGGAAATGCATTCCCGAACCTTGAGATGGGATGTTGGGACCAGAGACGAATTTCAAGGACGAAATTGGACCCGGAGCCACGGGCGGAGAAGCAGTGAGCTGGAATGAGGGAGGATTGACTTGAGCACTGCTGGAATTCGCGGCGTATCCCGAACTTCCAACAGCTGGTGTTGGGGTTAACGCAAATGATTGACGAGAAGAACCAGATATCCGGCCCAAGGCTGAGTGGCGGTCCAGAGAGCCAAATGGTGGTGGAGAATCGAATGCAGGACTGCCCTTGAGATCTAACCACCAGATGTCACCGACCTTGTCCATATCCTCACTCAGTCCGCCAAACACCCAGACACGATCTCCCCACAGGTATGCCGAGTGGTCAAATCTGCCGACGAATTTCCACGCTCTTGACCAAGTGAAAGTCTTGAGGTCGAGGTAGCAAATATCGTCGAGAACATAGTTATTGTGGCCAGTGATCCCACCAATGATAAATAGCTTGTCATCATGCAGAACCGCAGCATGTCTTGCTCGGCCTTTTGGGATGGGACCGTTGACAGTTGGTTGAGTCCAGTGTGCAGTCTTGAGGTCGAAGATGATAAGATCAGAAAGGTAGGTGCGGTGTTCGTTCTCTCCTCCGAATATCAACAGCTTGTCGCCTTCGAAGAGAGTTGCAGTATGGCCTGGGGGTTGAGTTAGTGCTGTGCGGAAGGGACATGGCGGGAGGTTTCTTGCCCATGCGGACCCCCGGAATGTCTCCGTAGTTGTCAACCAAACTCCACTGGTGACTAACCATATCCAGCCTCAAGACATGGTTGTAGACTTCGTCTGTATATTGATCGAAACCTCCAAAGGCATATATTTGATTATTACCACAGTATGTAACGCTTGCGTTGACCAAGCAGGCGGGTCGCTGGCCCAGAGTCCTGGTGATCTTGGGCTTATAGTTTTCCATGCTCAGGCGTCCCTTTACCGGCGAGTTGGGCATGAGGAAGGTGTTATTTGAAGAGGCCGCAGAGCCTGGAGTGAGGAAATTTGCGCCAATTGCCTGGCCGCTGTATCCGGAACCAAAGATCGAGCTCCCGGCTCCGGGTGTCGACGGCTGGGCCATCGTGATGGGAATGGTGCTGACGGTGGTGTCTCAGATGCACATGCTATGTATGATGAGAGGAGTTTCGTACGATGGAAAGGAAAGTCGGGGAGAAGACGCGATTGAGGCTCCAGCGCAAGTAGAGAAAGTTGCTGATTGCAGTATTCGGTGAGGATTAACGGCATTGCATTGCATGTCATGGCATGGCATGGTATGGCACGACCACGGGGCATTTGGAAATTGCATCGGATTATCCTGCCTCCGCCACGGATATTGGTTAGTCCGTCTCATCAGTCAGCTGACAGCGGGCGAGGCGTTGCTGGGCCAGAGAAGAGGCACGGGCCAAGTCAACATTTGCTTCTTAAGCCGGACCACGACCTGCATCTCCTCTTCTCCTTCTCATGCCCATTCGCATTCTCCAAATCCGCACACCTTCAACCTCATCTCTCTTGCAATCCGCCTCCTTCCCTACCTACCTTCATCATCCCAAGAATACTTTCAAAGTCCACTAGATCTCTCGCTCGTACTTTGTACCGCCTCTGATCGCCTCCGACTGCGAGCCATTCTTGACGAAGGCCTCCCTACTCTTCGACATATCGAGCACACACACGAACATACTAACCCAACACAACTACCAGGAACCATTAGGTTGAGTCTCTTGGAGCTCGTTCGATATACCGGACCGTACCGAACCTCTTATCATCGATCGATACATTTATTTGTCTTTCGACCGAGATCACAAACCACTTCACATCACCTCCAACCACCTCCACAGATACTTCAAGATGTCCGCTTCAGTATCAACCCCCATCAAGTCCCACACGGGCCTCTTCTCGTCTCGCACCGCTGGCGGCCGGATGCCCTTGACTCCCTCGCCGCGCACTCGTACCGCAGCATTGACCAACAACTCATCGCCGTTCACTCCCGAGCGCAAGTTAGACAACGAAAGCATCCGGTCCTCCTCTTACGGGGGCAACCTCTCTTCCCACTTCAAGTCCGCGTCCAAGATTGCCCACCGCCACTCGCCGAAGTCCAACATTGCGAAGGGTGTTCAAACTCCTCGTCGTGCCCTTGAGCTCGGTGTCTCCGACTTCTCTCTTACCGGTACTGGCAAGACTCCCAGCAGCAGTCGTTCCCGCAAGGCTCCTCTCCGTCAAAAGTCCAACAAGACCACCCTCTCCTACGGCGACAGATTCATCCCCAATCGGACCGCCAGTTCAGCAATCGCCAATGTCGGCTCGGGCAAGCTCGATGCTGGTGAGAAGCGACCAAAGAGCGCGAATGTGAACCATTCATCCATCCTTGCATCCGGTGCCGACGACGCTCTGGCTGCTCTTGGATCATTGTCACTGAACGATGACGATGAGCCGTCCGCCTACTCTCGCCCATCCCCAAACACAGTCGCCTATCAAGATTCCCTCGCCTCTGCCTGCGGCGTCTCCCTCAATCAACGGATCCTTGCCTTCAAGCCTGCGGCTCCTGAATCCTCCAAGCCGGTCGACCTCCGTTCCCAATACAACAGACCTCTCAAGAACTCCAACGCTGCCTCTGCTCAGTTCAGACGCCGTGTTGCCGTCGCGCCTGAGCGAGTTCTAGATGCCCCCGGCCTTGTCGATGACTATTACCTCAACCTCCTTGACTGGTCTTCCGGTAACCAGGTCGCTATCGGCCTCGAGCGAAACGTCTACGTCTGGTCTGCTGAGTCTGGAACCGTCAGCTCTCTTCTCGAGACGAGTCCTGACACCTACGTCAGCAGCGTCAAGTGGTCTGGTGACGGAGCCTATGTCAGTGTCGGTCTCGGCACGGGCGAGGTTCAAATTTGGGATGTTGAGGAGGGTACCAAGCTCCGTAGCATGCACGGCCACGAAACCCGCGTCGGTGTCATGGGCTGGAATAAGCACACGCTCTCTACCGGTGCCCGATCTGGCCTCGTCTTCAACCATGACGTACGTATCGCTCAACACAAGACCGCTGAGCTCATCTCCCACACTTCCGAAGTTTGTGGTCTTGAGTGGAGAGCCGACGGCGCTCAACTTGCTACCGGTGGCAATGACAATTTGGTCTCCATTTGGGATGCTCGTTCCCTGTCTGCCCCGAAGTTCACCAAGACCAACCACAAGGCTGCCGTCAAGGCCCTCAGCTGGTGCCCATGGTCTCCTACTGTTCTTGCCACTGGAGGCGGATCATACGACCGCCACATCCACTTCTGGAACACAACCACAGGTGCCCGTGTTAACAGCATCGATACCGGTTCTCAAGTCACATCTCTTAGATGGTCTCCTCACTACCGTGAGATTGTCAGCACCAGCGGCTTCCCAGACAACTCCGTTAGCATCTGGTCCTACCCAACCTTGGTCCGCAACGTCGAGATCCCAGCTCATGAGACCCGTGTTCTACACAGCTGCCTCTCTCCAGATGGACAGATGTTGGCTACTGCCGGTAAGTAGTTCCTCCCGATCTATACAAAAAATATTGCTAACTTTTTCAGCTGCCGATGAGAGCTTAAAGTTCTGGAAGGTCTTTGAGAAGAAGTCTGGCGCCAGCGCCTCGACAGCGGCTGCTTCCTCAGGCAAGGCCGACATGGTCAAACAAATGACCATCCGCTGAACTAACACTCAACACTTCAAGACTCTGCGGAGTGCCCGGGCTTCCAAGAGAGCGGCGGTAAAGTATACAAAAATTTCCATACTGGCATTAGCGGGTTGGATGTGTTTGCAAGCGTGGCGTTGGGGAATATCTCGCAATGCCCATGGCAGAAAGTGCTTCACCTGGTGCCGCTGATTTATGCTTGATGATGGTTGATGACTGAGGTCGTATGGGACAGGACGGTTTACTTCATGGGTGTGGGCTTATAGGAAATATTTATAATTAGGAATGAAGGATTACTACTATACACATTGGACTTCCCTCACGTGCCTATGATCTATTGCATTGAGATTCTCGATTCTGTAAATGGGTAGACAAATCGGCAACATCCGCCAGGGATTCTATAACAATTGAGCATTGTACATTCAAGAATCTGCTTTGAATTTATGCTTTTGAAGAACTATGTAATTCTTTTAGGCTTTACTTCGAGTGCTGTCAGCAAGATCTGGCTACACAAAGACGACTGCAGACTTCTACTAATACCCCCCCCCCTCTACCTGAATGTTTGTCGGACCCAGTTCGGCCTCATACTACTAAATCGTAGAGCGGTGGTTTTCTGAATGGCTCGAAGCTCCGTCAACTCTACTACACAGACGAAATACTTGCTTAAAGATACGTCTAAGGCTGAATCGTTATAAGTTCATTGGTTCAAGCCTTGATATAAAAATCCCTTGCAAAATCATACTTTCGACAAACATTTAAGAGGGGGGGGATAGTGAGTGGATTTTACCAGTTTATCCGTGTATTGAAAGAGAGCGGCTTCAAGTACACATACATCTCTTTGTACTACGTCCCAGGCGTAAGTATTACCCCTCGAGGGTAGGGTAACCAGGGGGTTTAAAGTGGAAACTAGACTTTTGAGGCACCCTCGAGGGGTAATACTTAGGCCTTTACCGTGGTATTTATCTACATTTTAAATAGCGAGTCGAGCAAGATCGGACCCCAGCAGAATCCAGGGACTTGGTGGGGTCGAACGTCGAACGGATAAACTATCCTACTAGTAAGTAAGCCGGGGAGAATTCTCCGAATGGGGATGTTGCTAGCTGGGCAGGAAACGCGACAGGACAAAAGGCCCAGCATCAAAACTCATCCAAGTAGAGTGAATTCATAAGAATAGAAAGGGATTATCTCTAGTTCGGTCATTTAATTGCAGGTCGCCAATTCTCGTCAAATGACGTGTGCTATACAATAAGCTGCTGAGAATAAGGGCCTGAGAATTACGGCTCTAGCGCAGTCCCGTGACTCGGCCGATTAGCTCCGGCTGCGATCTACTAAGTTCCTTAGGCAAGCTTCGTCAACTCTAACAATCTCATCGATCAACGGCCGACGACGACAACGTTCTTCCTTCCCGACCCCCCTACTACTATTTACAGATCGAGGAATCGCATCGCCCACACTCAGCGCGCAAGCAGAGTGCTCACGAGGACGGGTGTTTTCACGACGCGCGATTCTAGGGGTGTGAGAGAGGAGGGGCTACCAAGACAAAAGGCGACCGACCGTGGTTGAACCAAGTACCTACCTACCACGACTACGAGATCTCTCCGTACAGAGAGGAATCAGATATTTAAAGGCGACGAGGAGAATCAGTAGAAGAGAAGAGCAGCAGATATCAGGAAGTGTGCAGCAGCAGATCGGCGTCTGGTCGACGAAGCTGTCACCTCACCTCCCAACCTCGCATCACGTCTCCAATCTCACCTTCCATCCACATACACACACACACGCCGCACCCGCACGCCGCGCATCGATAGCCCATAATAAAGAAAGGCAAGATGTCAAACACGCAGGTCGGAAATGTGTACCAGACGATCATCAACGATGTGATCGAAAGCTCGAGCGTTGACTTCGAGGAGGGCGGTGTCGATGATCGGGTGCTGGAAGAACTGAGACGGGTAAGGCCTCCTCTTCTCTCGTCGTCCTTTTTCTTGTATCTGCGATATCGATAAAGGTTATTCTCTTCGTCTGAAATGCAATATGGATCTCGGTGGCCTTCTGCCCCGGATTTGGGGTTGAGATGTTGATATTTCTGGTGGTGGCGGATGGCAGCGCTGCCAACCTTCTGTGCGTGGGACGGCCAGACTTGATTCCCAGGGTGGGCGGCCTTGGGTATTTGGCTTTATACCTCCGCCGCTCGCCAAAAATGTGCCCGCGGCTAGTGCCGATTTGGACAAACCGAGCAGTCACGTGGGGGCACAATGTCTACGGGGTAGAGACAAGAAGAGAGAGGGAGTCCCGTCTGCTATGATTTTCGTTGCATGCAGCAATGCATTGCGGTTTACTCATACCAGAGAAAATAGTGCTAACTCTTGTGCACAGGGCTGGCAATCGAAGTTGTCGCAGCTTCAGGTAGCGCAGTTCCCCTGGGATCCAAAGCCGGAGCCAGCACCTGTCATTAACAACCCTCCCACCGTCCCATCCAATGCAGGCTATCAAGCTCAAAACTCGCCCGCTCCTCAATCCCAAGGCTTGACTATGCCGCAACAACAACCGCCACAACAACCGCCACAACAACCGCAACAACAGCCGCAGCACCAAGGCGTGCCCCCGCAAGTCAACAATGGACCACGTATCAAGACAGAGCCTGGTCTCGAGGGACAAGGACTGTCTATGCCACAAGCTCCATTCCAATCGCAACCGCCACTTAATCATCCAAACCACACTACCACTGCTCAGCAGAGAGCTGCCCAATCGTTGCATTCAAGCTATGGTCCAAGAGCCGCTGCGTCCATCAATGCCATCCACAACGGTCCCCAAGGCCAGTCGAACATGAGCCAAGGTCAGTCGAACATGAGCCAAGGTCAGTCGAACATGAGCCAAGGTCAGTCGAACATGAGCCAGCCGCAGCAACGAGCTATGCAAGCTCCTCAGCAGCAAAACGGCCAAAACATAAACATGCAGCAAATGTCAGCCGCTCAGCAAGCCCAATATCAACAGCAGCGCAATCAAGCCATGATGCACGCCCAGAACATGCAGCAGCAGCAACAGCAGCAGCAGCAGGGTAATCAAATCCCCACCACCCAGGCCCCAGGGCAATTCAAGCAGATGAATGCACAAAATCAGGCTCGGCAGATGATGGGTCAGAATCAAGGTGTGCAGCAGCAACAGCAGCAGCAGCAGCAGCAGCGCAACATGCAGAATGGTGGACTTGGCAATGCACAAACGGACGGCGCTGGCGATGAAGTCGAGACCTTGTCTGTCATCAAGCGTTTCTCTCCCTCCGGCGAGGAGATCTCTATGGGTCGTATCGAAATCGATGGCTTGATCCGCGAAAAGATTGAAGCTATGGGCAGCTCGATGGAAGGCGGTGGACTCATGCTCCCTCTTCACAAGGCCTCTACTTCAGCCAAGCGTCAACGCCGGGTTGCAAAGTCAAAGTCGGCTGTTGCTGCGCAGATGGATGGTGGCGATGATGATGATAACAAGGACGGCGGGAATGGGGAGCTCGATGAGGATGCGATTAATTCTGATCTGGATGATCCCGACGAGGGCGATAATGAGGAAGAGGATGACGATGAGAGCATGGGACATATTATGCTGTGCATGTACGATAAGGTGCAGCGGGTGAAGAATAAGTGGTAGGTACTCCGTAATCCTTCCTTGCTCAGATCCTCCAGAAACTTGACGATGCTTAATAGCACCAGTCCTGGCTCGGAGTGGTCTGCTTATTGGGCGGGGAGGCTGTAGATATATGCTGATTGGGAAACAGGAAGTGCGTCATGAAGGATGGCGTCTTGACCGTCAACGGCAAGGAGTACGTCTTCCACAAGGCGAGTGGGGAGTATGAGTGGTAAATCTGCTATGCTCCCCCCTCTCTACGGTGCGTCTCGGATATTCATTGCTTTCTTCCCGCTGCCCTGCTTATCTACCATGGATGTCGCTTTCGTCCGACATGGAATTCGAGATCGTCTTTGCTATTGGCGTCTGGCTACCTTACCCCGTCGAGCTCCTGCATTTCGCCGGAGTATGCAGAAACTTAACTCTCTGTTTCGTGGTTCAGGGGGCGCGGAATGGAAATCGAAATTATCGTTGGCATTGGATGGGCAGCCAACTTTTTTTCCTTTTCTGCAAGCGTGTTTTTATGCATGTGCGTTGGTGCACAACTCCCTCACATACACATAACATAATCCTACTCTTCTCTCTGCATCTCAGCTCAGAAGAGGCAGACAGGCAAACCATTTGTACAATAAGTAGAAAGTATAAAAGAACTGATTTCTAAGTTTCGGTCCGTTCCGCTCCGCTCCGCTCCGTTCCGCTCCGTTCCATCTTTTCCTTCTCTTTTCATTTCTCACCTTTCCTTTGCGGATTTGATGCGATGCAGTTATTTATTAGCCTGCTTGCAAGCCAGGTTCTCTTGCACGCTTAGTGGATGAGTGGAGAGGGTTTTTCGTTTTTTCTTTTTCTTGTGGATTCTTGTTGTTGTTGTTGTTGTTGTTGTATTTATTAACGTCGGGCGGGTAGCAAGCGAAACCTGCCGCCCTGAGACCCCCCATAGGGTACGGCGACGTGCTAAGCTAAGGTAATCGTCGGCTCGCTTAGGTGGGCCTCCTTTCAGCCTTTCAGTTTTAGTCGGTATAAGCGACTGCGGATCGAAAGCGAGTGCGGATTTTTCGAAATGTATTAGAAATTTTTATATACTATAGCAAATATTATTACAACTTAAAAATATTTATATAAATAATCAATTTATTATTATATCTTCTTTCGAAACATCCAAAGGGCAAACCACGAAAGAAAATCAGGCAGGTACAGACTGCTGTGGCCTGCTCATAGCTTTTTCTTGTGCAGGGGAGGCGGAGGAAGATGTAAACAAGTTTATATATATATATATATATATCTATATATCTACTTTCTCATACATGATATGATTCTCATCAACAGGAAAGCGACGCAACGATTCCAGAATCGAGATGGGAAAGATATCATGCCACTTGGTTCGTTGACAAAAGGATAGATAGTCTTCTCATTATGAATGATAGGTAGGTAGGTAGGTAGGGCTAGGTGAAAGCTCTCGGATTTGGAAAACGCTCAGGAGAGGCAAGCAACTGCAACTCGGAGTTGACGGAGAGCGCAGCGGATATGGTTATTAAAGCGGTCGAATCGAGCCGGTGGGCTGGACTGGACGTCTTGGTTGGGCGTGAAGTTGGAAAGGGGAAAGAGGGTTTGGGAGATGGGGAAGATGGGAACTTGGAAGGGAGAGGAGAGGGTGTGTTGATGGAGTGGGTCAGTGAGTGGGTGGTGTTAGTATCGTTTTTATTTTAATTTGTCTTTTCTTTTTTTTTTTTTTTTTTTTGATCG